TATGTGTAAAAATAAAAAAGTGCATGCTTTTTTGGGCCCTCACTGTATGAGAAGGTTTTTTCTGTTTAGTTTTATAAATTGTATTAGTAATATCAAACAAATATCTTGTTGATGACGCCATCCTGAAGATAAAGTTGTTCTTGTATGCATAGATAAAAAAAGATGTATAAAAATGAGAGTAAAACGATGAGAATTTGTTACTTTTTCTTTTTTTTTTTAGTTTATCTGAAATGTGTTGTTTCATGTAGATCAGTGCAAATATGAGTAATAGTTTATGTTTTCATCGATAAGCAAAATATACTTTAATGAAAGAATATGCAACTAGGGTGCGTGGTTTGGGTGTGGATCTTCTGTTCAATCACTCACACAGTCCACACTCACGCTCGAAACGTTCCTTTTCATCCAAAGTACCTGCAAAACAAATAAAATCATGAACGGAGCATACAGTTGATTTTTAATTATCTATTTTTTCGATAATGACTCGATAGTTCTTATTCTTTTTACGTATTAGTGCTTTATCAAACTTGTCAACGTCAGCTAATCTTTTGCTGGATACTAAACTAAAGCCATTGTGCTCGTCCATATAACTGATGAAGGCGAATTCTTCATTTTTCCGTACATACGACTTCGTGTTGTAAGATTTCGCATAAAAGTTTAATGTCCGCTAGAATACAAATAAGATGCTTCATTGAATAATTGACAATCTTCGCAGCAATACAAGATAGAAAGTTAACTAACAAGGTGTGGGTGTTGGCTTGTGGGTTTCCATGTTGATCTTCTTTCAATCGACATCTACACCCATCCATCGCATCCACCATCATCCTGACTAGCACTTCTTTAAATCTAAATCTATGTTGCGACTATTCGTCCGGTCACCAGTCATAGAGAATCATTGGCCTCCAGAAAAAGATTAGTTGCGACTCTTCGAAAATTTCGCAAGCATAGTCACTAAGGAATCTGGTATTATAGGACTGACTAGCAGACATGGATCGTTACAAATGTATGTCGAAGTGATTCTTTTTTATGATGCTGTCAGCACAATATAATTTCTTCTATTTTGGGAACAAAAATTTTCGAAAAACAAGCTAAACATATTACGCAGTACAAGATAACAGTCAACATTTTCAAACCATAGATCTATCGCATTGTACTTTGCGAAAAAATAAAATCAGTTCAGTTTGCTATAACAATATTATCAATTAAAAATTGTGCGCTAGTACCATTCACTACAAATTCTAGGCCAATTATCGGACATAGCAATGGCAAGGCTATCGTTTGCACAGCAACTACATATTCTAATGAGCCACTCTTAAATAATTGTTTGCTAAGAGCGGGAAGAACATGTACCATAAAAGAACCGCTCGATTCATTATCATAAAAGAGCTGTACTTCCAAATTATCAACGAGACCACCTTCTGGACGGCCAACACTAAATCTTAGAATTGATCCAGTCAAAGTATTTTGCAGTTGAATTGTATATCTTCCGACTAAACTTTCCATTGGTTCCAAGATCAACATTGTTGATCGATACACGTTCACATAGACAGAACTCCATAATGACAAATTAGTCACTTTAATCTTAGAACCAACAATTGTTCCTACTGTTATATCATAATTCTCAAAATCGGCAATGATTGTTTCGTTCGAATCTTGAAATGTAGATATATAATTCGTATACGGTAAATACGGCAATGCCGAACGATAATCTTCAAATAGAATACGATGTTGTATTTGACCTTTGAGAATAACATTCATGAAAGTTGACATGTATATTTTACATATATGTTGTTGTTGTTCAATTGACATTACTGGACGAACATTTATAAATTTATCAGTGGCAGGAGCAAGATCATATCTTCCCCAGTTTGTATTGAATTGTCCATGATTTGCTTGATGAACATACAGAGAAGCTTTGAAATTATAATTCGTGCTATTTGGTGTAAATTTTAAATTTGTTAATTTTGATTGAAAAAGAAATGACGATAGATCTGCATCATAGACACCATGTATACCAAACATCGAAACATCGTATGATTCAAGACTACGTCCTAATAACATGTAACCATCATCTGTACCGGCAATTGAAAATAAAGCTTTTATTCCGAAATTGTAATTAGTCAGAGATACACCAGTCGGATATTGAGGCACGAATCTTAACTTATTCAATACGTATGCAATCACAATCGTTTCACCACCACGTGAATGACCCGCTAAACCGATATTTGATAGATCCAATTGATTATAAAATTGATTGGTCGTTTGTGTATTCCATAATCGCATTTGTTTCAATGTTTCTAATATGATAATCGCTCTCGTAATCATGTCTGGATCACTACTAAAACTAATATCCAATTGTCTAATTTTTGATATTTTACCATACCCAATTAATGAATAATCAGGCGAACCATATAAAAAATTCTCATCAATCGATACACAAACAAAACCTTGACTAGCCAACATTGTACACAAATAATCATATCCTATTTCACTGGATTCTGTTGACACATGATTTCCATGGATCATCATAACAATAGGATATCGACTAGTGTTATTGCTTGTATTTGTAGGGTACCATATTCTACCGTTCAGAGGAAGAGTAGATTCATTGTATCGAAATAGTTCTCTATTGAACGATGATAATGTAATGAATGAAGATAAATCAATTGTTGATGTTATTATTGATGCTTTAGACCCATAATCACTCCGAGAATCAATACCACTTCCATATGTAAGAAATGAATATGAATAATTACCATTCAATGATGGGTCTTCGGTTATATTTCGTGGTAATCTTTCTAATGGTATCATTACACGAATGTTCATTTTAAAACCGTCCATCAAAAAGTACCATAGTATAAGAATTATTCCTACACAACCTATACCCGCTAGTACACTATAAATAACTTTGAATAGTTTTCGACGTGAAAAAATCGCTGCAATAATACCACCGCTGAAGAGCGTCTGACTCAATGAAAGTGCAATGCCTAATACGAAGTCAGATGATGCAAACCTTCCTGTCATTCCAATTTTTAACATAAATAATTGTAGTGTAACAAAAATTCCAATAATAAATGAAATTACACCATAGGATAATTGTTGACGCATAAAAAAGCATTGGTGCCATATATAATTAATAAAACGAATAAAAACATAACTAAAAAATGTTATCTTCAAAAAATTAGTCAACATGTAAATTAAATAGCCAACAAACATATCAAATTGACTATATCCTAAATTCAATGGTGAAATGACCAATGCACATAATAGAGGTGTGAGTATTGCTAAACTAATACTTGTTACATTGACTATACGGGTCAAAATATTTGTCCTGGATCGTGAACGTGTGACATATTTGTTCTTAAATTGATGCCAAACCTGTACAGATAACACGCTGATAGTGGAAACAGTTTCTATTAAGCGTATGATAATTAAGGCTTGTAATTCTATTGTGAAATTTCTTAGAAGAGCTAGAACTAAAAACTTGTCAGTGCGACCCCTTATGGGGTCTAAATGTGAAACTCACGAACCCGGTTTGTTAGAAATTTATAAAATGTTGCCAAAGTCTTCAAAATAATTGACTTTCAAAAAATATCAAATAAACGAATGGATTAAGATTATCACAATTTTGTAGTCGATATGTGCGCTTTGTAATTTTTGTATTTCGAAAATATTCCGATTCATAATTGTTTGTCTATCAATATCTTTGATCTATTTAGTATTGTTATACTCTAAAAACTCATTTATATTATCAAATACACATTTCAATCTGTAGCTTATTTTCTCCAGACGATAACATATCTTCAATACATGCTACAGAAACCAATACTTGTAATTTTATTCGTTTCATCGACATAACTATCACATTATCTTGCTATATAAATGGATTTAATCTCTCAGTAAGCTGCCATGTGCATGATTCTTTTTTTCGAGGCATGTCATCATATACTAATGAGCTTTGACTAGAATCAGAATTCAATCGATTCAGATTTTCCTAAGTTCGTTCCGTTTTCACTCTGCTAGATCAATAACATGATCATCTAATTAATTGGTAGCTATAATAAAATCCTTTCTCTCAATGAGAAATCACATCGCACCGCTCGCAACCTTTCTGTTAATGAGATATTATAACTCGTTGATAATGCTTGTTATGGAGGCCTTTGCTGCTCAGGTCTGTAATGGGGAGGGAAGCCGCAAAAACTTCAACTGAAAATTTACACTCATTATTTTCTTCGAAAATATATGTGAGTTCCACAAAATCAGTATTAACAACTGCATAGAACAAATGCCAATGAACATTACCTTTTCAGCAATCAATCTTGGTTTTTGGACAAGTATATTAGTATCATTATTGTCGTTATCGATCATCCTATTATGAAATTGAATACTCGTGATGACTTTGATTTTACGATGAAAAAGATGTGAGATTAAGCACAGTGCTTCTTGTTTTTGTTTCTTGCGCTGAGATCTATTAAAATAATCAGCTAAATAGGTGTTATCAATACGATAACTACAAAGTTGCTATGCGATAGATTGCGAGTTGTGCTCCAACAAATAAATCGAGAACGTTTTTCGTATCTAAAAGTAGATATTACAGTATGCATTAGAACTAGATTCGATTTATTAAAGACAGTGATGAATTCTAATTTTTCACATATTTTTTTCCCGACAATGAAGTAGCTATAAAAGTTATAGTATTGATAATTGCGTTAGCAAACATGAAAAAAACAGGTACCGTCTAAGAAGAATTGTCTGGTAGTAATAGCACGACAATCAGTTGATAAATAGCATTCAAACTGGTAGAAGATCACTATATATATATACATCTATCGAAAAGTCATTCAGCGATAAGAACAAGGAAGTAGATACGTACTCTTTCATTATCATTTCAAGGGGTTCGATGCGTGTTGCTACCAACATTAAATAGAAGTGACGATGGGGCCGCTCCCAGCCTGTTATCTTTACTGTTATTCACCATCTTACTCAATTCTTACGTCACCAGGATGTGGGGTACTGGTGTGGGTGTGGTGTCAGAGTGTGAGTGTGTGGGTGTGGGTATGGATGTGGGGTGTGGGGTGTGGGTGTCAGATGTGGGCGGTGTGGGTGTGGGTGGGGTGAGAATACATCCTATTCTGCGATGTTGAACATTGCGGAATCAGTTCCGCCCACGGAACCAATTCCATCCAATTCCGGGAACTCGATCATCATTCAATATAACAGATCGGCTCGTCACTGACCGAGTTTCATCAAATTCCCGGAATTCCCAGAACTAAGTTCAGACGGAATTACCCCGAATTCCCAGTAATTCCGGAATTCCGAGAATTGATTCCAATCCCAGAGTCGGTGCGGATTGCAACTCTACTCAGTTCCCGGAATTCCGGAAACGGACGGAATTCCTAGGAATTCCGTCTTACTCGGGAATTGGTGGGGATTCCATCTCCACTCAATTCCGGGAATTCCGGAATTACTGGGAATTTCGAGTAATTCTGTCTGGACTAAGTTCAGGAAATTCCGGGAATTGACGGAACTCGGTCAGTGACTGGTAGGTCTGTTGTTGGGAATGACGATCGAGTTCCCGGAATTGGATGGAACTGGTTTCGAGTGCGGAACTGATTCCGTAATGTTCAACATTACGGAATAGGATGACCGCTCGGTGGGGTGGGGTGGGTGTGGGAGTGTGGGTGTGGGAGTGTGGGTGTGGGGTGGAGTGGGTGTGGGTGTGCGACGTTCGTGGGTACTGGTGAACAGAAGATTAACGCCCACACCCACAGCCAAATTTTGTTTCATATAATCCTTCCTGTGTCAAGTGAACAAAATTGCACGTGTGACTACACCAACACATCTGATTTTGCACTCTAAAAAACTCTTTCTTACTCAAAAACCAACTAGCAAATTGAAAAAAAATGACCTCAGATTCGGGTTCCCCGAGCCTGATTACCTTGGGTCAAATTTTAAAGGAAGTCACTATCTCCCTTTGATGTATGCACATGACTCGACACATGTTTGCTAACAGACAAGCAAGCCGACGAACTCATTTTATTTCATATGACACTCCCTTCAGTCGAGGAAATAAGGAAGAGCGAGCTATTTTTTCTCGACAGGGCTCAAAACTTTTCAACTAACTCTCATGATAGATTTAAGAAATTTTCAAAAAGGTCTCAAATCATTCTTTGAAAATTAGAACTTCTTCAGATAACTGCATAGGGTTTTGTTTTAATACTTACTCTGAATTTCTAGATGGAGTCGAATCAGCTGATTACTTGATATGTTAAGTCCAAATTTGAACCCGTTCATATCTAGACCAACACGTAATGATTAAAGTTGAGATGTTTGCTGTAAAATTGATTCAATTTCTCTAACTGAACATCTTTCAAGCTTTAAGTGATGAATATATGGAAGTGGTATAGACATCATGACAATATTATTGTTTAAATGTAGATAACTTAACTGAGGTATTAGTTGACGGTAAGTATTAATTAATAAGGTATCAGGTCCACCAACACTATATCCATAAAGATACCTAATTATTTGAACATCGAATGGAAGAGAACGTAATTGTTTCAGTCTATACAAGTTAATAAAAATAGCACTTAATAAGTGTAATTCAATCTTGATCAATGTAAGAAAAAGTAGATGTGTGAATTGTTGTATTGGAAACTGAGAAAAGAAAAGCTGAGATTGACCAGGTGTATCATCATCATCGGAGATGGTAAGAGAAATAATTTGTTCTGGTTGAATATTCTAACAGATAAGATTAAAACCGAACTTTCGAATTGATTTCAAGTTTACTCGATAGGCAGAATAAGATTGTAAAACGGCTTTAATATAATCACTAACATCAGAAAGAGTAAAAAGGATTTCATGTGCCGAAAAATAGATAAATACGGTATGTAATAATTCGACAGGCAATCGATCAAAAAAGCAATCATTAGACATGATAAATGATTATTTGAAGATATACAACAGTTATTTCGAAATAAAAATATGTCAGTTTTTGATAAATAAATGAAAAAATGTTGTTAACAATGACGATGCACCATAATATTACAAGAGTTAGATAAAGAATTATTTGCATGTTTTCTTTTTCCTTCTTTTCTTGTCAACTTTATGACGCAGAAGCAGAATTGTAAAGAAATATCTAAAGAAGAAATCAAGTTAACACTCTCAAGTCTTTCGGTGAATTGTTTGCACATGCACACTTTCTTTGTGAAGATGCCACTAATGAAGTACTGCTCCATTTTTACAGTAGATTTATATGTGCTCTGTGTAACCAGTATCTTTTTAATTATCAATATATATAATGTTCAGTGTCTGTCTGTTTCTCCGTGCCGGGTCAAAGGTTAAAGGTCACATAAGGCTATAAGGGGAAGATCTCCAGAGACTATTATATGGGGTACTTATAGGTTCCCAAGGGCTATCCTATGGGAGTACCCATAGATCCTCAAGGGCTATTCTATGGGGGTACCCATAGGTCGTCAAGGGCTATCCTATGGGGGTACCCATAGATCCCCAAGGGCTATCCTATGGGGGTACCAATAAGTCCTCAAGGGCTATAATATGTGGGTACCCATAGGTCTCCAAGGGCTATCCTATGGGGGTAACCATAGATCCCCAAGGGCTATCCTATGGGAGTACCCATAGGTCCTCAAGGGCTATCCTATGGGGGTATCCATAGGTCTCCAGGGGCTATTATATTGTGATACGCATAGGCCCTGAAGGGAGTAAGGCAATCGGGAAATAAGGCTACAAGGAATATAAGGCTATACGGCCGAAGGCTGCATGGACTATAAAAATATGTGCGATATGAAAATATCAGGTCGTAGGGCAACCTATCTATATACATAATATCGAGTGTCTGTATGTATTTTACCGGATGAAAAGTTAAATGTCTGAGGTCATACATTAAAGGAGAAAACAGCCGTGAAGTATGCACGGGTTCTCGCTAGTATCTGTATATTATATTATAGATTTGTAAAATAAAGGTTTTTCTATGTTCAACCTAAATTAGAATATAATGTTGCCTTGTAATTGGAATCGATCGCAACGATATTTGTATGAAAACAAAAGCCAGGATGCAATAAGGAGTATAGGTGTGGGCGGGTTGTGGGCTGATGTGAGATTGAGTGTAGCTTTGAGTGTAAGCTCTTACAACACTGACACCCACACTTACACTCTCAATATCTTGAGGGTGTGGGTGAGTGTGGAGATGGTGTGTGTGGGTGGGTGTGGGTGGGGGGGGGGTGGGGGTGGGGTGTGGGTGTGGGTGTGGGTGTGGGTGTGGGTGTGGGTGTGGGTGAGGGTGTGGATGTGGGTGTGGATGTGGGGTGTGGGGTGTGGATGTGAGGCGTGGATGGATGTGAGTGTGAGTGTGTGTATGAGGCTGCGATGTGGGGTGTCCGGCTCTTCCACACTCGCATCCACATTCACACCCACACCCACACCCACACCCTAGTTTTCAGGGATAGATTAATGATAGGCTGAAAGTGCTTATGTTTGTGATTGACATGTCGTTTCTCCCTTGCAAACACTCGAGAAAATGATCCCTACAGATAGAGAGAGGACTGTATTCTTTCGTATGAGACTTTGTTTTGTTATCTCCTTTGGGCACGTAACATAAAAAAAGATTATTTTTTCTTTGCTTTGTTGTTTGGACAGCAAACGACATAAAAATAATTCACTACTATCAACTTTATATATCGCGTGTAGTTTGTCCTCCATTATGTCTCTTTATCGAGTTTCGCCTGCTCCTGAAGATCATATTAAGACTTTTCGACAGCAAACGAATTCACCTCCTATTCCTTCGTCTCCAAGCTATGGAATAGATGCTCCTCTCGGTCTGCTCGCTTCGTTTTTCACTGCGCCTCTCTACTTATACGCCACCTTCTATGGCAAATTTCAAGTGTGGGAGACACTCTTGAAGGACATAGCCAAGAATGTGAATTGGAGCGAGCCTTGTCTGGACTGCGGATGTGGAAGAGGTATGGTTCTTCTCATGATCGCTCGTCTGAAGAAAAACTTGACTACTAGCGCTATTCCGACGTAAGTTGTGTCTTTCCTTTACCATCTTTAGACACTCTCTGTTGCTTAACTAGTTCTATCTCACCGGTCTATGGTATCGATATCTTCAACAGCTTGGACCAGACTTCGAACTCGCCGTTGTCGACCATTCGCAATCTTGCTTCTGTCGACCTTTTAGACTACAGTGTTCTACACACTGGTACCTTTCTCGATCTTCCCTTTGTAGACGACTCATTCATCTTGACTACTGTATCCCTCGCCATTCATAACGTTTCTAGTACAGAAGATAGGAGACGGGCGATAAGGGAATGTGCTCGAGTTACCAAACCGGATGGCTGGCTAGTGATCGTCGATCTCAAAGGCAGTGTTGCTCTTTATGAGACTACTTTACGAGAGCTTGGTTGGCAATCAGTAGAACGAAGATGGGTAGGCATGAAAATGATGTATGGAGTGTGGCCTTGTGAATCACTCAAGGCACGCAAGCCACAGCAAACATCTTGACTTTTTCTTTTCCTTATGGTTATCGTTGGCTTTTTGCTATATCTTGAAATGATTTACATGTTTTTTTTTATGAATGAGTTTTAAAAAATTGACATTTGATAGGAATATGTGAAAAACATAAGGACAATGTCAACTATGATGCTTGATGACTTTTGCTCGTTCTCCCCGTTGATCGAAAAACTTACGTAGATAGGATCAAATCAAAATCTACGAATACAAAAGAAAATAGTGAATCTGAATCAAAATTAAGTGTAATATCACAAGAATGGGAAATCTAAACAATCGTTTTTACATATCATTGAGTACAATCTAACGAGTTAAGGGAGCTTCCTTCTCAAAAATCTAACTTTGACAGGGTACATGAGATATTGATGAAACTGTGCATAGATGTTGGTTTCATGGAAATACACCAGTAAAAAGATTTCCTTCTTTGTGCCTCACCATTCAGGAGATTTCGAGAGGCCAAGCTGTAAAATAAGGCTTGCATGTGTACAAATTTTTTTCTAATATACTTTAAGTTCAAGCTGCAGGGTTCGGGTTGGTTTTATTTGAAAGAGAACTCATTACTGCTTCGGATGAGGAAAAGGTTTATTTTGTTTTTTACTTTTGTTGTATTTTAGAGATCACCGAAATCTCAAAAATCTGAAAATCCGAGTCATGGTTTTCTGGAAAACTTAGGATTCTATGGGTTGCGACTGAAACAGCTATCTCGAATAGAAAGACGTCATACAAGAGTATGGCGACAAGGTTGACTTTCATGTTGTCAGAGACGATACGTTTTCTTCCTTCGTTAAAAAAATATAATCCCGATGCGCTTATTCTAACATGGGTGTTGCATCATATGGAACGGTCTACTCAGTACAAGTATGTCAAAAACTTGTTCGGCACTATGAATTCTAAAACGGGAGTCGTAGTCCTCGAAGAGGGAGTCTCCACAATTTTATCACTAGAAATTGAACAGGATAAACATGATGAATTCATGGATTTCTCTCAACAAGAAAGACAAGATGTGCTGGCCATTTATGATTGGGTTGCAAATATTTTCATTCAACGAAGAGCCATGCCAATATCTGCGAGTAATCGTACAATGGACGAATGGTAGAGTTTCTTCAGTGAAATCGGATTTAATATTCTGTCGAAACGGTACATTGGGATACCAGTAAGAAACATCATTAATCCTCAAGAATTATTCGTTCTCGAGAAACCCAATATCAATGGCTGACAAGCAGGAGCTCAAGCAATAAAATCAAAATCAATGACCTTGATTGAAAACCACAAATGATTAATGATCGCATTCTTGATTTCTAGACTATAATCATATGGGTGTCAGTGTCGGTGTGGATGTGAATGTGGTTGATTTTTCCCTTCATTACAACACCCACACCGCTCTGTATTATATTGGCATTGTTCATATCAATGAATATAATCGTTTACGACTGATTTCTCGGTTCTCTCTTCATAAAAATGCTGATGATTCCTTTTCGTATGCTATTGCAAAATTCATTATAGCAAAGAAAAGATAGTGTCGTCGAATGATCATATACATCAGTCACTTCCAGCTCATAGGAGTTTTTCTGTGCTAATGTCCGTTTCAAAATATAATGCATCCCACTGTTTTTTGAATAACTCAAGAACGCAATTAGCTAGAGATCTGCGGTTTTCACCAATCGAAAGAAGAGACAGGGGGACGTCTTTTTCTCCAATATTGTATTGGACAAAATCATTTTAGAATCAGTCATTTTTGCAAAACATTGCAAAAAAATGCATGAAAACTACCCGGCATTCTGAAGAAATTTTCCTTTTGACATGTGATCTAGATAGAGGGACTTCGGATCTATACTTCAGGATATAATTCGAATGATTATCTTACCGCATCCTAACGTTTAGCAAATAAAATCGTCTATTTACTCGCAAGAAAACTATGAATTTCTTTTAATTTTGAAGCAACTTTTTTTACTTCTTGTCAAAATTTCATCTGAATGACAGACCATTTTTTCGATGTTATGCAGAAATGACTGGTTTTAAAATGATTCCGTCTGATACGATATTGGAGAAAAGACGCCCCCCCCCCCCCCCGCCCCCCCTTTCGATTGGTGAAAACCGCAGGTCTCTAGCTGATTGCGTTCTTGAGTTATTCAAAAAACAGTGGGACGCATTATATTTTGAAACGGACATTAGTAATGAGAATGATCCCAAATTTCCTAGAGGTATACTGGTTGATATTTTCTAACGTTTCCCTAAGTTCGATTCATGTCCATCGAGAAAACGATTGCGAAAATGACGAGTCATGTACTTCTGTGTGAATGAAACTGAAATTTATCGGTTTTCTATGGTTTTTCGCTTACATCAAGATAGGCCAAATGAATAGGTTGTTTTTGTGAAAAACCTTTCAGCACAATTGTTATAGATTTATATAGGACCCATTCTGAACAGAAAAAAACTCTTTATTTCCTATACAAATCACTTTAGTTATTATATTAAAAATGCATATTCATGACACATATTATAGTCATAAGGAACAGAATAGAATTAATATAAATCAATGAGCTTTTGTTAAAAGCTGTAGTAGTCAATGATTCAGTAGTAGTCAACACATGCAATGTATCACATTGGGCCACAGTGATATCTTCGAAAGCAACAGCTACTCGTGTAGATCGTTGTTGACTAATTCGGAAATAAATTACCTGAGTACAAGCTGTATGGTATAGACCCTTCGTAATCAATTGTCATTCAAAACTATTGTCTAATTCAATGGATCAAAGAGTTTCGACAGCACAACCACGGATTGAAACATGTATCTTTGTATTATTTTCATTCCATTGAACACACGTAGAATTAACGAAATAGGCGAATCTGATTCACATATCTCTATTGGTTTCAAGTAAAGGTGTTCTAAATTGTCCATCGATTAATGTTGGTGATGTGCTATCAGAACGTGACCAATAAAGAAATGAATCACCACTCCAGCCAGTCGTCCATCTTGGACCCAGATATCGATCGTTGATATTATTTGGTGATCTTATAGTATAGTTAATGGCAGATTGGAGTGAAAAGTTCGTAAAATCATCTCGGATATCACATGTATGACCCGTTGATGAATCAAAATCACAAGCAAATTCAAGACGTAAGGCACCAGAAGAGTATTGTTGTGGATATCCACAAGAGCGGACAGAGATTGAATCAAGTGCAAATGAACTACCAACTTCATCGTCTGATTCCATACGGAACAGGAGAGAATAACTGCCTACAGATAATGGAGCGAATGCCCACGACCTATTTAAGAGCAACTTCGAACTACTCTGAGATGAATATCATGACTTACCATCGTATATTTATATACGTATAATTAACTGAATTAATAGGCCAAATTTGTACAACAGATTTTTCGGTGCCTTTAGCTGAGGCTAATACTGACAGTCAACTTATTTTTACAGCAACTCCAAATCTATAATATTGAGAGCTGAGAGAGAAAGCTGAATCATGCATTGTAAAGCTAAAGACACGCGTGCTTAAATATTCGATTTCACCAGATTGCAATGAGTTTAAATTGTTAAGCCAGATATAATGACCTAGAACAATGGTAAATAATAAAGCAAAACATTACGATTCTTCAATGGGTATGATTTTTTGAACTATCTGCTTAATCTCCAATTAAATAGTCAACTCCTGGAGCTTCTGCCGTATAATTTTGTGCGTTTTTTGCTTGGATTGTTGACCAACTGTAGGCATAATTAGAAAATGAAAACAGCTGTGAGCATACAGTTTTATCAAAATCACAATTGAAAACTGTTGGTGGTGGTGGTGGTGTGGGTATCAAACTAGAACCCAATGAAACCGATATATCATCAATATTTACTGAACGTGTAATACTGGTAAACAAAATGTAAAGATGGAAATGACTGGGAGCATATTGTGGTTGGAAATCCATACGCAGCCATTCAGTACCAAAAAAACGTGTTCCTATTGAACCTGCTGAAATTCGAGATTGTAGATCATCACCTTAAGCAAAATACGTATCGAGATATACTCCAGCTTCCTTGGTAGCATACATCCAAAGCGTCACACCTACTGTTTGGTTCATGGATGCCTCTATGAATTGTTGTGTAACGAAAGTAGCTAAAGTCTGTGACACCGAATTATTGATATAAGTTATATAATGACCACAAAGATTTCCATATGTATGATCAATATGGGATGAAACGTTTTTTACGATCCAATTCGAATCAAATACAAAAGCTCCACATGGTTCTTCAAAATTACATTTGTAAAGTATTTGTGCTGGTGATGCTGGTAACAAACAAACGATGAGGAATGCAATTGTCGTTAGCATCATGTAGTTACATACACGTCAGTGTAATAAGAAAAGTATTATATTCACAATTGATAAAAGAATGTATCAAAACAAGCATGACGTTTTTCTTTCTTCGTTGACATTTGACTTATTTTATCAATGACATACAATTATTAACAAAGTCAAATAACAATAGAAAAAATAAGCCAGAAGTTCTCTTTCATGTCGAATGGAAATTCTGGTTGAAGCACTATGCTCACGGAGAAGGGTGTGGGATGTGAGTATGGATGTGAATGTAGATATGGGTGGGAGTATAAGTCTTCTCTTCCACATACATCCACATCCACACGCATACCCACGCAAAAATCTAAATAGGTCTTTTCTAACATAATTTGCTTATAAATTCAATAAACTCAAATTGTTTTTCCTCTTCTTTTATGTCAACAAGTATATATGCCGACGGTGTTTATTCAGTTTAATTGAAGGTTTCACTTCGAAAATTTCATAGTAATTAATCCATACTCAATAAGTGCTTTATATTTGATATTGATTTAAAGAAAAGAAAGTGAAGAACGATTAGATCGTAGTATATAAGGCCGAACACAATCTTCAATTACGATATTAAACCTCGAATAAAAAATCAAGTAAGTAATGGCAACGCATCTACTATTTCTTATGATCACTGTTCTTCTTCTTCTTTCCCTCCAATCTGTTGTCAGTAAGTGTTGCATTTGAAGAAATATAGTTATGATCTCATCTTACATTTGTTTTCACAGGTCAAACAATTCGATCAACATCTGGATGTTCAGTTTCACTCTGCCCATCAAGAAATATTACAAACAGCTCTTGTTCATCGGCAAGTACACAGATGTGTTATGCCTATACAGTTCCAGTGACCAATCAAACGTTCTGTGCTCCATCAGCTTCGTGTTCACTTTTTGAACCGTGTATTGACAATGTCTGCTCTTCAAATGCTAGTATTTGTTTATCCAGTGTATGTTGTTCTCAACCTGTCTGTATGCCTATCAGCTTGAGTGTTATAAATTGTAATGCAAGTAAGTACGACATGTATTCATAAAAACGATGTACAAAACGTTCATAAGTCATCTATTATATCAATAAACTTAAAAAATCGAGTCTCCACAACCAATAACTCTTCAGTACATTAAATAATAAAAAAGGATTAGTTTTCATAACTTTTTCTTCTAGCCATTCCAACTATACTACCAGCTCAGTGCTATAACCACACTGTCAACTCTGATGCGACACGCAACGTAGCATATACTCAATCAACTAGCATGTGTGATCAAACTGAATTCTCGACTTCAAAATGGGTTCGGTTCAATGGAGAAGCTGGTACTCAACTAGCCACGTCGGTCTCGACAATAAATCGCTGTGGCACGTCTTCGCCAGGTTATCTCAATGACACGCTTCCACGTAGAGTGGGCGAAACAAAGAGAAGCTTAGTATGCTATGACAACTATGGCAGCTGCAGTTGGTACAATACAATCTCAGTAACCAATTGTTCCAATTACTTTGTCTATTACCTTTCTGCTCCACCTACGTGCAATCTTCGTTATTGTACTACTTGATTGACACTTCCAATCAACATATAGACTATATAAGGGTTATTCTTCAATATACACTGATATAATACCTTCTAGAATAAATCTTTCCCCAATATCTGTGTGTCTTCCCATAACACTTGGCATAAATACAAGCACATCTCAAGATTTTAAAAAGAATGTCTATACAGAAATAGTAGATGATAGGAATTATCGTTCTTAGAATTCCCTAAGACATGACTTAATCCCAATCTCTCGACTGATCTTCAGGTAGGCATGTACCAAACCCACATTCGAATAAATGTTTAAATTATTCTGAAATTCACAGAAATCTTTGTCAATATCTTAATTCAGCATGTGACAGTTACCGGCCGTTAGATAAAAAGTTTTCTTTACTATTCAGTCTGACTTTTTTTTGTCTTTTTACATGTTGTTTCCAAAGAAAGCTGATAAAAAAAATACCGTGTGTAGTTATGGCTGTGCCCTGTTGAAGATATGACTCTTATCCATATTCTTTTAGTTGAAGCTATAGTTGAACTTTCTCTTATGGCTTCGTTATCGTGTGGTTTGTTAAGATTAAGTGCAATTCCATGAAAAGTATGCTCATACGTCATCAGATATTCGAAATGATCATAAGAAATTATGTATAGAGTTTTAAAATCATCTTCCAAAAGTGAATCAAACAATGTGCAGATTTTTTACATGTACAATCCATTTCTTGTCTTCAGGCATATTTTTGGAAGCCTTCACTATCAGTGAGTTTTTCTCTTGTGTTAATAGCCATCTTCCTTTAGTCTAACTTCTCGTTTCCGTGTTCATAGACAAAATGAGATAGTAAAGAGAAGATCGAAAACGAAAAAATCTTTTTTTCGTTGCCAAATACACAAGTCAATATAAAGAGCATTGACAAATAGTGTAGACTCCGTTAGAGACGCTGAATACTAAAAATTCATCGCATCTCAATATCTTCATCGCACAGTGATTAGATTTCACACAAAGCACAACGAAATATAGAGCATGTAAGTTTTACACTCAAAATAAATACCATGCAATACTGGTGAGAGCAAAAATAATATCGAATAGTATCGATGTCTGCATGTAAGATTTCATGATATTGGTCAACAGTTGATTTTTTCGATTCCTAATAATAAGTGTTTGTTGCGAAATGCCAGTTATGAAACTGAAGATGTGATGGAGGTCATTATAAATAATGATCAAAATGAAAAAAACTAACAAAAATAAAACTTTTAATTTATTTTTCTTTTTCTCTTCTACTATCGATCGAGTACGTATGAATGAATTAAAGGTTCGATTATATTTCTTCCTTTTTTAAATAATGCGATAAATATAAAAAAGAAGCAAATATTTGATACCTTATCAATACAATATCGAAGACCGGTGGTGATGCAAACAAAAACAGTGCTGTTTAGTCGGAGAACGTAATATTCGAAAACTTGTTTCAAGGGAACACAAATCTTTCGCAATGACAAGCATGAGAACACGCCAGAGAGTAGGGTGCTATTTTTTCCAGCATTGCATTATTTAAATTCGAACGAGTGATACTAAACAACTTCTTGCTGTGGATACGTAATAATGAACATCAACATTGTCATCATAAAAGCAAAAGCAAATTCAAAACTTTGACATTGATATCATTCATCTTCAGATTTGACAGAGTTTTGGTTTTCTGCCAATATTGCTCTCAAGTATTTGTCTACGTTAATGACAGTATATTGAAGTGCGAAGCGATATGTATGCATGTGACAGAACGATAGAAAAAAAAAGAAAATAAGTCATGAAAAAAGATACGAAAATTTGAGAGTACGTGCTATGCAATCAACTCTACGTCGAATTGATGTCAGAATTTATGAATGCAGTAACTATTTTAGTACTAATGTTAATATTCAAAAGAAATTTATTACAATGTTGATTCCTTTTGGAATCTTTCATTGTTACTATTTTATTTCACAAAAATTATATACATGATAAAAGAAAAAAACGAGAAAAGTTCTGATCTTTTCAATTATCCTTAGATTATTTTTTTTCTTATTTTCTACTACTGAAAAATGCGATACAATAAAATAAATTCAATTCTGAAAAACAATTGATGAAATAGATTTCTATCCATTAAAAAATGATTAAGCTGGCGAAAATAATAGAAAAGAATTGAAAATTTCTTCGAAATACTAGAAACAATCAATGATAGCTGTTGAAATCTCATTGTATTAAACATTAAAAATAAATATAATGTGAACTGATAACTTAAACTAAAATACGCTTCACACGAATTCCAAAGTGTTAATCTTCATATGATGTCTTGTAATGCATGTCAAATCACATAAAATCAGGAAACGTTTATATTCTTGTCGTTTGAGTGTAATATTAGCATTACTACGGTGTGTGGCAAAAGTTTTGCATGTACATCTGTTCAGGAGCGTGACAAAATATTGATCTTTTTTTCAAAAAGATGCTCCATCGAATTCTTTACAAACTTCCATTTACCTTAACTTAGAACAATAGAAGTGAACATTTTTATAGGCCGCATAGTGTAATTATGTAAATTGAGTCTACTTCACACACATTATTTTCTGTTGTTCCAATGATCTTTCGAAATTATAAATAGACACAAAAGAGACTTTCTGTTTGTAGGCTGAGTATATATCAAATGTTCTTTTAGAATTATTTGTAATTGTTTGATTACAATCCATATTTGTCTAAAACCTATGGCCTGCCTAATCTGATGCGACTAAAACGATCTTGTTGACACTATTCGAATTCTTCTTCCAACTGAATTGTTTTTCCATGTGCTGCTACTGGGGATTTTCATAGAAAAAAAAATCAATTGTCTACAAAATATTGCAAAAATGGAAACAGTTTAGTCCTAAGTGACACTTCTAGAATGGTTTCTTTGAAAAAGCATAACCAACCATGAAAATCGCGCTATTTTCAAAATATGACCATGCGTCTAACCGAAAGAAAGAACGTTTAAAAACTTCGTATATATAAATAATCGACAGAGGATTTCAAGAGCTATGTTGCAGTAAATCATGTTCTAAGAACTGAATGTTCGCTTTCGCGAAAAGAATAAATTACTAAAAAATGTGTAGGAAGTAGGTTGAATTTACATAATTACACTCTGAGACCTATAAAAGTGTTCACTTCTACTGTTAGAAATTAGAATAAATGGAAGTCTATAGAGAATTCGACGGCGCATCTTTTGAAAAAAAAAAGATCAACATTTTGTCATGCTCCTGAACAGAAATACATGCAAGACAACGAAATGTCGCAAAAATTTTGCCACATCCGATAGTATCTCGCTTACTTTTTTGTTGTATCTTACAGACAAGTACAAATGAATTTTTACTCTTGTGAAAAACATATAGTTAACAATAGAGGGTGTGGATATGAATGTGGGTGGGTATGGGTCTGAGTTTGGAGTAATGGTGCTACAAATCTAGAATAGATTTGAGATTTATGATCAATGACCTTGGAATTGGATTTATATTTGTATTTGGAGCATGGATTTGGGTTTGAACCAAATTCATATAAACAATTCTGCAATTTGACGACCGTTATCAAAACGTAAACTATTTATATTTTTTTTGTCTAAGACGAAATCCAAATAATAAGGATTTCATGCCAACTTACAAAATCTTTTTCTTGTTTCTCTAGTAAAGTAGATTATTGTTGATGTTACCTTATCTTAGCAAATCCTTTGAGATATAGGTAATTTGAAATCAAATCCAAATTCAAATCTAAATAGAATTCAAATCTTATCTCAAAGCCAAACCGAATAATAGCAAATCTCAAGACTTAAGATTTGCCACATTCCTAGTCTGCAGGGTCTCGGTGTGAATGTCGATGTGTGGATCGGAGTATTATGGCTGTAGATATGGGCGTCGGCTGTGTCTGGTGTGTAATTGGTTTGTTTTGAGCATGGACTTGAACGAGCGCAAGATCCTTATTGTACCTACATCGACACTCTCATATGATATTTGTTAATAAATTTTGTGAAAGAAAAAAATTGTTGCTACTTTAATTTTCTGTCTTTCTTTACCTTTTTCTGTTCATCAAAAAAGAAATTGCAATTTCGTCTAGTCAAAATTGAAATTTCAATTTTGCCTAAACAAAGTGAAAATTTCATTTTCGACTAGGCAAATTTTTAATTTGACCGAATGTTAATTTTGATCACAATATATATATATATATATTATACAAAGAAAGATAGCAGCAACATTCTTTTTATTCTACGATTAAAATAGGAAAACAAGAAAGTAGAATTGATTCATTTACCAACACAATTTAATACTAAAAAAGATAAGACACTTTGTTACTCGAATAGTTTTGTGTATCATGCCTCCTGAAATAAATATAAATGATGTATATCAAACATTTACAATGACTTCTGACAAACAAAATCAATATCAAATTCGACGAATGCTTGAAACTGATATTGAAACAGTAGTTGAAATCGAGCAAATCACATGGCTTGATAAATCATGGTCTTCTCAACAGTTTTCTGATTGTCTGAATCATCCACATTGGAAGTGTTGGATACTTGAAAGTACTGACAATGATTATTTAGTACTTGGATATGGTCTTCAATACATATACAATCATGTATCAGATATAGTGAATTTATGTGTTCATCCTAATCAACGTGGTCATGGTTTAGGTGGAATACTTTTACATTATATGATAGATTATTCTCGTCTATCTGATGCTTCAATTATTAAACTTAGAGTAGATACATCAAATATGCATGCACATAGATTATATCATAAAAATGGTTTTCGAATAGTTCAATTTCTTTCTCAATATTATAAATATGCAGATGCTTATGAAATGGTACTTCAACTATAAGTAATTTCAATGTATAATAATATTTGTATCACATTCTTCATTTATAATTGTAACGTTTTCTTTTCTTTTTTCGTTCTTTTGTTTATTACAATTAAAACAAAAAAAAACCTGTTTGAAAGCCACTACTTTTATAACCGTTCTAATTGTATACAAAAAACTGTACATTGAAAAACCATCCTAATTGTTGCTAAATATATACATTAGATATATCGAGAAGATTACTCATTGTTAAGTAGAAAGATGGAGATTTCATTGAACGAACTACGACTATATTTAACTAGTGATTTATTATTATGTATAAATCAAATTCGATTAGTTGTTCTAGAATCTCTATCATATGTAGAACTTAAATTGTTCAGTTGGATAAAGTAGATAGACTTTCATAAATATCAATATATGATATCAATTTCATTCTGAATTCAATGAAAATAAAAGCAAAATCAAATAACGGAATAAATATGAAAGATAAATAACTGAGAGAAAATTAATAGATAAAAATACGTATTGATAGAAAATAAATGTAAACTATAGAGACAATATTTAAACGAGATTTAATTGTCGACATTTAAGTTGAATTATTTCATCTATCAATGTGATTTTATGAAGTGTTCTATTCGAATTAGAAATTATTGTATTATCAATTGTAGTAGAATTTGATACAACTTTCAAAGATGAAAACTGTATCTATAAAAGAAACTTAAGTTGAAATAAAATGAAATCACAATCAAAAAACAAATGACAAGAAAATAAGTATATATCAATCATATTAGTTTTTGACAGGAATTTGTTTTTGTTTTTTTGAAAATATGAATAGTTAATATCTTCATTCATTTATGCTCAACCATGGAACTGAATATAGAGAACTTGCTCATAGTCATTCTTATTATGTACTGTAAATATTAATTCTATTTACAGATCATTACTAATCGCGGTTGATATAGTAAGTAAACTTAACATAAAATTCATTATAATGATGAATTTCGTTGTATAATGTTTTAACAAAATCTGAAAGAATTTTCTCTGACGAGTTATTCACTTAAAAATGTTTATCATTATCAAATTGTATTAGTACTTCATCGTATAATTAATTTGAAAGATCTTACTTTATATCTTTATATGAAACGGAAAACATTCATTGATTGCGTTCATATGCTAAAACTAAATTTATTTTTTAATCTCCATATTGGTACAACAATTTCTACTTTCAATACAAATCAATTGTTATCAGCTAAAGATAATCATAAGGTATTCATTGATTAGAAATCTTCTTCAGTTAATTGTTGTTTATATTATTTCTCAAATCAACTTCCTATTTATCATATTTATTCTACTAAAGTCAAAATGATGTGTATCATGTATGTTGCTAATCGTTTTTTGGTGTTAGTCATTATCAGTTTGTTTATCAATCTGAATTTATACAATATATATGTTCATTGGAAATTTTTTAATAGCTGTGACGAACAATATCATAAGTGAGTTAACACGGATCAACTGAGCACAAATGAAGCCACTATTGATTAATGAACTGATAATGTATCTGAAATGTTTTTATCGTTATTTTTTCTTTTGTTCAAAATAGTTTTGTTAAAATTGTCAGTATTCTAATATTTGAAGAAACATAATCATGCATTATTAGTGTTTTAATTTGTCTATTAATACAGAGTATCTCAAACGCTCCCAGAAGTTTTATTTTATATAATTTGTTTTACAACAAATGTTTAAAAAAGATAACAATCAATTGAAAAACATACATTCATCCTTTTTGAAACCTTTTAAAAAAATACTACGAAAAGTTTATTTTCTAATTTACTTTTGTTATCGGTTCTTGTTCTGGATTAAACTAAATCTTTATGGATATTAGTAAAAGATGCTAACACCCACTAACACCCAACTTTTTCAACTGAGAGCCTGATTACCACTCAATAAGGTAGAGGTCTACTATCTCACTCTACAAACATCCACTAACACCCGTTTATCCTTTTTCTCAATGGGAATTGGAGAGGTTCGTTGTACACTAACATCCACTAAAACCACATCAACAGCACACTAACATCCACCAGCATACTGTAGTAATCATTAGCACTACAACCGAGTTCTTTTCCACATTCTTCGGTCAACTTCATTTTTTCGACATTTGACCTTTAACCCCGTGAACGGGAACACGCTGAAAATTTTATATTGAAATTTAGAGGAAATTTGTTGTCCAAAATATGGTTAGTGATTACTACAGTATGCTAGTGGGTGTTAGTGTACTGCTGATGTGGTTTTAGTGGATGTTAGTGTACAACGAACCTCCCCAATTCCCATTGAGAAAAAGGATAAACGGATGTTAGTGGATATTTCTAGAGTGAGATAGTAGACGTCTACCTTATTGAGTGGTAACCAGGTCCTCAGTTGAAAAAGTTGGGTGTTAGTGGGTGTTAGCATCTTTTACTAATACTCAATCTTTATATGTCTTATGTGAATATATTTTCTCTTTATATTTATCGATAAACCATTTAGAATCAAAAGAGTTCTCCTTCGAAAAAAAAAGAATTCTCTTGATTGTCGATATGTTCTAGCATCGATATCAGAAAAAACGTAATGTCAACTCGATCTTGTAAACCTTCTTGATGACTTTCTTGGACAAATTGCATCGTGTTTGGCTTCATTAGAGGATATTCAGTCTGATTTGAATCACAAGTCAGACTCCTCAACCATTTGACCATCAAACCACCATTAAGAAATGAATTTAAAATTTCGCTAATTTATGATTTACTTGATTTGATATAGAAGAACGTTAAAATGATCTAAAAAAAAATAAACGCTGTGAGTAGGATTCGAACCTACGCAGGATCAACCCATCTGATAGCTCATTACTTGCACTTTCTGATTCGAGTCAGACGCCTTAACCACTCGGCCATCACAGCACGATGTCTAAGTGAATTTTAAATTTTGTTAATATTCGACTTCATCGTCGTCTGATGACTCCATTGAAACTGAAAAAAAAAATAAACGCTGCGAATATGATTCGAACCTATAGCGAAGTGAACCCATCTGATAGCTTGTTACTTGCACTTTATTCGTGAAATGAAGCAGACTACTTCAACAATCTGAACATATGAGGGTGTGGTTGTAGATATGGGTATTGTCAAGAAAGCATACTAACCCACTTACCAACACCCCACACTCTCGTGCATTAATTTCACACATTTTTGGTTGAAACGAATAAATTCCATTTAAATTAAATAAATTTCCATGACCAAAAGTAATATCTGGGCGATAAGTTTCTATTTGAATATTCGGCCAATGAATATTTAATTGTGTTAAAATATAATGAATTTTTGAATTAAATTGAAAAGTTTGCCGAATTTTTCTTCACCTAAATCTGTTGATTGACTATATTGCTTAACAATTGAACTTAATATTTTATGTAAATTTTCATATTGATTATGAAAATAATCATAAAATTCATTTGAAAATGTTAAATATTCCCGAAATAATTTAGCTTGGTCATAAACAGAACAAATATTATATGGTAATGGTCGATTAAATCTCATTTGAAGTAAATAACGATAATTATCAAGAATTTTAGTTATAGCATAAAGATATGTTTGATTATTGAAAATAATCATTGTATATTTATTTAACTTTGGTTTATATTTTTCAGTTGTATTAATCATTGAAATTAAGCTCAGTTTATTCTTCATTATTTTCTCTCGATAAAATATCGTATCTATAACGAATTCTATCATGATCTATTAATATTGGTACATTTGTATGATCAATATTTGATGATTTTCGAAAGTCTTCTGGTATGTTTATTCGTATTTTATTTTCAAGTAACTTTTCTTTTGTTTCTAATAATAAACGTTTTAAAATGTTTGATAATAGAATTATTTCTAATTGTCTATCACTAAAGTAATCTGATTATCAAAACAAATAATGCCATATATTCAACTTGTTTTCTATCTGAAGATACTTGTATTGGTTGAACATGCCAAACAATAGAATTTATTTCTTCATTATCATCTAAAAATTGAGCACTGAGTTTTTCGATAATTTTAATAAAAATATTCACTTGAAAGTTGTATACGAACATAACCATTACCTTCAAGTTTTTTCTTTTTATTTCGGATATTTTATTTGGATCAAATTCAAAAATGTTCGAATTAAAATCCATTATCTATGCAAAAAAAAGACGAATTGAAAGTGTTGCATTGAATGAAACCTTTTCAGATTATTCGAAACTTATGTTCAAGATTGCCAATATATTCCCAGCGATCGAAAAAGCTGAAAATGCGGTAGAAGGTTTGAAAATCCTCATCGAAAGTGTTTTCACTCTTGAAGTGCTAGCAGCGATGTGGAGTGAAAGAAGAATGAAACCGATTGTGAGTTGATCTCTCTCTATTCTTATTCATCGGGCAACAACATTATCTGCAGATGCTTATTTCATTTCGTGCCAGAGAAGATCAAATGACGTTTCCAAACTCAATTTCTATGTAATGTTATTATGAAGCCGTAAAAAAATTGCCAGAAAGTGAAACATTTGGAGAATCTCGCCATACCTCCCTTTCATCTGATAACTACCGTTGGTTTTTTTTCCACGTATTGTATCAAAACAGGTGAGTACTTTTTAAATCTGTTAAAACAAACCGAATTGATTCATTTTCAATGAACGCTGATATTGTTGATGCATTTGAGTCGTCTCTACTAGATAGAGAACTCGAGTAAATAGTATGTAAGTACTCTGTAAACGGCTCACGATCAATAGGACAAAGATAATCAGTTAAAGATAAACTTCATATACCGGTTATCGACAATTATACATAATGAAACTGTTCAGACTTCGTTTTGTAAATTGTTACATGACAATTTATCAATTATTCTGATCCACGAGTTCAGCAGAATACTATTTATGAATGGTTAAAAGTTACTCGTCACATCAAAAGTTTGGATTTATTCTATTCTGGTTCGAATGGCATGTAGATCGTCTTTTCAGAAATAGCAATATTAACACCTGTCGCACACTGCACATTATATATTCACGCTGCAACACGAGAAAGATAAGCTAATGCATTTAAGGGAAATTTATATGAACGATGATCCTTTTATCGTCATTCACAATACGTATATATCGACTATGTTGGACAGATATTATAAAATTCCTATGTAGAAGCATCTGAATCTCAGTTTTCTATCGATCTATGAGTTCGTTGACTTGCATCGGTATGATTGTGGGTGCGGATGTGGGTCTGGGCGTGGGGTGTGGGTGTGGGTATCGATAAAGAGAAGACCACACCCACACCCACAAAGTAAATTTAGTTTTCAGAAACGTCAAAAATTTATTGTGATTAGTAAAATCGAAGTAGATAGTAAGCTCTGGATTCGTTTCAGACTTTTACACGATCGGAATTCATATGGAAACTGAACTAATATAATTTCAAAACTTCTGAACTTGAATCGTAAACCAATGTAAGCATGATTTCAGTTGAGATAATGAATCAATGCAATCTTAAATGAGTCCATGTCGAGAGAAAAAAGAAAATCTGTTAGAGTTTCATTTACATAAGACTAAATCATTGATACATGACTTTTTATAAAACGAAAGCTAGGACAATGCTGAATGACTAAACCTATGTTACTATTAAAAATTGGAATCAGTTCCATTTATTTTGAACACTTATATTTTGATGTTTTGGCATAGAGTACGATTCATTTCAAGTTCTATCATTTGGTAAAAGTGTTTACTATACTATTTAAGATTTCTTGCACATAAAAAAGTATCTTCTACTATATGAACATTGCCTTTCAAAATTCTATGTTTTAAAATGGTTTCAAGCATGTTTTTTTTTAATAATTAACAACCATAATTTATTAGTTTAAGTTTTTATAATATGTTTTAAAAGCAGCATCTGAACTTCGATTCATTCTCATAAATCTTACAACTTTTGGCTGTGGAATATTTCTAATTTGAATGTTTTTACTAGATTCAGAGCAAAACTCCTTCCTTTGACTCCTTTTTTTCGATGAAACTAATTATTATAGTTATAACTTCATCATTTTCTTTGATAATTGAAAGAAACAAAATATTATTCTCATTGACAAGAAAGACAAGGCAATGGTAATATGATTTGCGATATAAAGTTGACACAAAGGCTATGATAATATGTATGAAAAAAAGTTTATCGAGTAATTTTATCAATGAAAATATATTTCAATATGGTACTGTCCGTTTTCCTGTCAATTCATCATTGCATGACGATTTTATTTTTTTTATGTAGGAATAAAAACGTATGAATGAATCAAGGATTTCCTTTTTATTCTCTGATTGTCAAAGTGATGAGTCTATGAAAGCGTATAGAATGATTACTCCGTTAGACATTTATGATCAGATCAGAGCTTATTCGTATAAATGCAAGAACATAGAAGAAAAAAAAATGAAATGTCTAACTGTGTTTAGTTGAACCAAAGTCTCGCTTTTGATATTTCATGAAAAAATGTGACGATATTTTTATTACCGTCAGAAATAAATAAATAATTGATTGAAAAAATAAGAACGAATCGCACTAAATATGTATACGAGAGTGCTGGTCTGCTGTATCACAAAGTATTGATGATCTGATTTATCCTCGTAGGCGCTTGCAGGTGAAGCCAAGGCAGGATGAAAAAACTCGTCCACTGGCAGCTCGGATCCATGCTAATATCTGTATGCTTTTTCTTAACACCTAAGATCGAAACTAGTCTTGATAGCTAAAACTTGTGTTTGAACCTGACTTCTTTAAATGCAAAGACATTTTTTCAATATTGTTTCACTTCGAAAAGAAAGCTGATTTCTGAAAAGCATGAGGTAAGACTAATAGATTGGTTCGTGTCTTGGATATCCAAGTCAGTCTGTTTCTCGATTAACTAATCATCACTCTATATTGTTCTCTTTTGTTACTAGCAATTATCATAGATAAGAATGTGTTTTACAGGTAGAGGTAATAAAAGATTCTTTTTCAGGCGCACATATGCTGCAGTGAAGAGAAAGCACATTATCTGATAACGCAAGTCACTAAACATCTTAACAAAACATACGTTGTATTTTTATTATTCTACCTCATTTTTGCCGTGTTTAACATGATTTCCGAGTTTTCAATACTAGTATTATCATTATTACTGGTAACCATTTATTCACAGCCTACTTCACTCTATCTCCTTCAAGATGACATGGTAATTAACTTACGACAAAATCATAAATTTCCTTCTTCCACGTCTATCAACACCAGTATTTGGATGCAACAACTCCTTCCTTACATTTCTCATCTTCATTTATTCAACCTTACTTTACCAGGCACACATGATGCTGCATCTTTCACTCTCACATCAGCTCTGTCACCTGATCCTACTGGAAATGCAGTGCTAGATGCTCTTGTAAAACTGGCAGAGAATTTAGGAATACCATTACAGGATGTGATTACACCCTGGGCATTAGCACAAAGTAGAAATTTATACGAGCAAGCAGAGGATGGTATGCGCTATTTTGATATTCGTGCTGCCTATAATGGTACGGATTGGTGTTCGTATCATTTCGAACTCGGTCTACCTATTTATACTCATCTCAGTGCATTGAATTCGTTCTTGTTGTTACATCCTAGTGAAATCATGGTAATTGAGGTATCACATCTTGCAAGTGCGAACCTAACACAGAAAAACTTGAATGAATTGAGAGATATGATCATCAACATATTCAATCCAATGCTATATTCACGTGTTAATGATTTCAATGCTACAACTATTGGTGATATGATTGCAACAAATCAACGAGTGATCGTCACGTTAAGTGATGATGCCACTATAGCAAACTACACTCAGCTCTGGTATGGTTCCAGTATGATCAACTCATATGCCAACACAGATTCACTCGATCGAATGACTTCATATAATTGGCAGCAAGTTCTGAAATTCAATGCTCTTCCTTCATTACCCACTAATGTCTTGTACAAGTTAAGCTGGACATTGACACCGCAAGTATCGACTATCTTTGACTCGATTCTACCCGATAAACCGAAGTCATTGAAGAATTTGGCTGATATTGGTAATAGTGGATTGAGTGGATTTGCAAGTTTTGTGTTACAGAAAAGATGGAGATTATGCCAGTTATTGTTGATCGATTTTCAAGAGAGGAGCGAAATCATGCAAGTGATATTTGCATCGCTCCGTCAGCAACAATTTAAACTTGTTGTGATAAAGTAGACAAGTACTGTTCATTGTACTGATCGCAGCAGAAATAAGCAGTTTCAATAAAAGCGCTTAACCGTTTCTTGTATCAATTATATATTTTTTTTACAAAAAATGCCTGTATTTTTCGAAGACTTTGAAGCCTTATGATTCTAGAAAGCTGTAAATTGGAGTGGGGGCGTGGTTATGAATGTGTTGTTGAAGAACAAAACAACATCCCTACCAACATCTCAAACCCACACGCATAATCACAGCCACCCACATCCGCGTATGTTCTCTTTACTTTTTCTTATTCAAAGAACTTCTTAAATCATACTTCATAGTGACATCTACCCAGTGCTGCCACCTTTTGAAGTCCAAAAAGCAGAAAATGATAGAAATTTTATCATAAAAAAACAGAACGAAAAGACAGAAAGCATTGTTTGTGATATAAAGCTATTTTTGAAACTTTGTCCCAGTA